CCCCCTCCCCCGCTGGCTTCTCCCCCTCCCTGCTCATGCCCCCACCCACGAGAGACGTTTCCCCTCCATTCCCCCCATCGGATCTAGAACCCGCCCCTGTAGACACCCAGCCTCTCTCTAGAACCCCCCCTGGCAGAAACAGCCCCAGACGCCTTTAGAATCGTCCCCCTCTGATCTAGAACCGGTCCCCACTCTAGAACCAGCATCCCACCTGCCCCAAGGGAGACTTCCCACCCCCTGCGGCTATTTCTGGGTTCCCCCAGATGCTAAAGGGGGAGAGGCTGGAGTCACCCCTCCCCCTGTTTTCTGGACCCCCCCCCTCCTTTAACCAGTCAGATCTAGACTCAGATCTTTTTCCAGAGTCTGTTCTGGACCCACGGCAAGGCGGGGGCCCCTTTTGCCAGACCCACCTCTCACTACCTCCGACTTCCGCAGTGTCGATCCCTGGGATCTAGACCCCCCCATCTTCCTGCCGGGAGCTGCAAAAACTTCCCCCCACCTGGCACACCTCAGGGCTGGTTCTCCCCCCAGGCTGCCACCCCCGGTCACAGAAGACCCAGGTCTGGGATTTGCCCCAGCCAGCTCCAGGCTCTGGGGAGCGACTCATTTAACGTGCCAGACCCCAAGGACCGGCCCAGTCCCACTCGCCCCTGAGCCGGGCTCCAGAAGCCTCCAGAAAGCCCCAGTTTCCCAGGTGCATCCCCCGTCCTGCCTGCCGGGCTTTCCCGCTGGTGGGAGGTTGGTGGTTGAATCACGGGGGGGGGGGGCATCTTGCTCGGACCCTCTGTCACTTTGGGTTGGCCTTAGCCCGTTCTGCGATGACCCTAGTTATTTCTCCCCCCCCCACCCCAGGCAGCGAGATGACACCCCTACCCCATGCCTCCCACGGGGGGCGAGGAGCAGTCGGAAACCTCTTCCCCGTGCAAAGGCCGGAGGGAAACTGAGGCACGCGGCGGCAAAAGACGACGGCAGCGTCCCCCTTGGTCCCAGCCCCTTTCGCCGGGGTGGGGCTGGGGGGCGGAAACGACCCACGCGATCCATCGCGATGCCTGTGGGCTAGCACCAGGCAGCTGCGCCGGCCCAGTCGAGCTGCCTCGGGGCCTCGGAGGAGAGCAGGGTCTTCCGGCAGGGACCCCTTCTGGGGCGAACGCCCTCTCTCCGTACCAGCCGGCCTGCCCTGGCTCCCCCCCAGCCGCAGCCAGGTAACATCGCCAGCTGCTCAGAGCCTGGGTAGGGGACGAACCATCCCCCCGCCATCAAGAGTCCCAGGCAGGAGACATTTCTAGCTCACATCCCCAGCAAACTGGGTTCTAGAGTTCCTGGATCCCGCTGGGTTCTCGGGGAAAGGAGGCTTTTCCAGATACCCAGTGGGCCCTAGAACTAGGGGGCTTTTCCCAGCTCCCCAGGGGGTTCTGGCATAACGAAGGCCTTTCCAGACCCACAGTGGGGTCTTGAGTAATGGAGGCTTTTCTAGATACTCTGTGGGTTCTGGAGTAACAGAGACTTTTCTAGACTCTCTGTGGGTTCTGGAGTAACAGAGGCTGCTCTAGACCCTCCATGGGTTCTCGAATAATGGGGACTTTTCCAGGCCCTCCATGGGATCTAGGGTGGCTGAGGAGTTTCCAGCTATCCAGTGGAGCCTAGAGTTATGGAGCTGTTTGCTAGATCCCCGGTGGGTTCTAGAGTGTCAGAGGTCTCTCTGGATCCCACCAGGGTTCTAGAACAACAGGGCTCTAGGTTTCCTCCTTGCCTTTGAGAGTGATGGAGCATTTCCCTGTGGTTGCCCCGCGTCTCTCCCTCTCGCTCCAGGAGCTGCTGCGGCCCCTTCGTGACTCGGTTCCCCAGGCCCGCTCGCCCCGGGGGTTCCCCTTCTGCAGGGGGGGACCTTCATCCCCCCTGCTGTGGCTGGTAGGGGGCCCTGCCCCCTGCATCTCCCCATCTTACTGCCCCCTCCAGACCCCTTCCTGCCAGGCTCCTTCCCGCCCCGGTCCCTCACAGCTGCACCTTCTTCTGATTCGCTGCCTCCAGCTGACGTCCCTCCCGTTTGCCGCCTAATTGGCTGATCGGGCTAATCCAGCCCTCCCAGGGCCAATGTGGGGAGGACACCCCAGCACCCAGGGGGGCTTGAGCCTAGATCCATGTTCTAGATCCCCAGAGTGCTCGAGCCCAGCCCTGGCTCCTCAAGTGGTTCTAGAGTAACAGGGGGAGCTCTAGATCTCCGCCAGTCCCTACACCCCAGGATCTAGCTCCCCTGGGGTTCTAGAAGGGGCCGTTCTAGAGCCCAGCACGTTCTAGAGCCCAGAGGATCTGAGAGATGGGCGGAGGGGGAGCCCAGGGGGCTGCGGGTCAGGAGTGAGGAACATTTCCCCCCCCCCCGGCTGGTTCTGTGGGGCACGGCCACCCTCCCCGGCTGAAGGGCACCTCGGGGCCGGGGCTAAATGTCACCAGCGTCTGGACCCAGGTGATTGAGGAGCTCGAGTCCCCCCTCCACGGCCCAGAGTGACTCTAGGGGGGACAGGAGAGAGGAGACATATGGGGTTGAGGGGGCACCGTGGGGCAGGGAGTGGGCAGGGGGCGCTCTCCCCTGGCAGTCAGGGTCGGGCGCTGCAGGGGACAGGGTGGGGGGCTGGGCAGGGGGCGCTCTCCCCTGGCAGTCAGGGCCGGGCTCTGGGGGGGTGCCGTGCTGCAGGCTGTTTCTGTGCTGCTGTTACCTACCTGCCTCACCCCAGAAGTGGCTGCATCTGACGATATTTCAACTCTCCTGTTCTCTCTCCTCGCAGGGCTGAGGCAGCCAGGCCCCGGGGGTCACGGGATTTCCCTCCCCAGCAGGCAGAGACCCCGGTCTGGGCCCCGACTGCACCATGGGCGGGGCTGGGCCCCAACTCCAGCACTGGGGGGCGAGAAAAGTGAAGCCTGCGGAATCAGGTGATTTCCCCCCCCCTCCAAGGCCGGGGGTCAGAGGGGGCGGGTGCTTCCTGGGGCAGTTGAGGATGTGGGGCAGGGAACGGGACGATCTGGGACTAAGGGGGTGCAGCTGGGGTGGGGAGATACTGGGGGAGGGGCAATTGGGGGAGATCCAGGGGGTCAGGGTGGGGGGTATGGAGGCAGTGCATGTAGGGGGGGAGCTCTAGGGGAAGGCGGGGGGCTGTGGGGGGTGGGAAAGGGGAGCAGATTCCAGGGGGATAAGGCTGCCTGAGGAAGGGACCCCCCCCATATTTAACCCCACCATGTATTCTCCCCCCCCCCAGCTGCAGCGCTCACCAGAGCCCCCACCGGGCCCCTGAACCCCCAATCCCGGCAGCAGAGACGGCACCGGTGGCTGGCGGTAAGTGGGGGGGCGCTAGGGGGCACCGCGCCCTCCCTGCCCCAGGCAACGGGGGGTGCCGCGCTGTGCCCCATTAACTCTCCCCTCTCTGCCCCACAGTGAACGTGGTGGTGGTGGTGGACGGGAGCTGTATCCTCCAGTACACGCATCGGGACTCCCCCTGCCGTTGTCTCCGCCGCGCGGACACCCTGCTGGCCCGCCGGCCACCCCCCTGCTACGGGGCTGCTGCCCCCTGCAGCCCCCCCGCCGCCGGACCCCCCCTCTCCCGCCGGGCCCGAGGCCTGGGTGTCCGCTGCTGCGCTGAGTTTTGCCTGGGGGAGGAAGAGGAGCGGGCGGAGCGGAGACCCCGCCACCAGGGGGCGCCTCCCCGCCGCGCCCCCCCGCCCGGCCGGCTGACGCCGGTGCCCCTGCCCCGCAGCGCCACGGGGCCCTGGTTTACGGTGGAGGCGCCGGAGGACGGTGGACCCGGGGCCCAGGTGGCCAGGATCTGGGACCGGGGGCGCTGCCCCCTGCTGGAGGAGGGCGACCTCGTGGCCAAAGTGAACGGGGCCGACGTGAGGGGCCTCGGGCCCCGGGAGGTGGAGAACGTCCTGCAGCAGCACACGCGGGCCGGGGACGTCATCCTGCTGGTGGAGCGGAGAGGTAATGGGGGCTGCGGGCACTGGGGGGGCACTCCTCACTGCTTCACTTCCTGCCTGACCCACTAGGGGGCGCCGGGGGCCCCTGGCTGCTTCACTTCCTGTCTGACCCACTAGGGGGCGCCGGGGGCCCTGGCTGCTTCGCTTCCTGCCTCACCCACTAG